TACCAGCTGTCGGGGCCCCTCCGGCTGCCGCCTTATCAGATCTGAGCACCACTTGGCGTAATTGTGGGGTGTGGTGTTCAGAGTGGGCTGCCGCCCCCCAGTCCTGGGCATCACACCACCCCAGAAATGCCGCCCTGTCCTGCCTAGACGCTCTTCTCCCTTTCTGCCCGAGGGCTCCAGTAAGGAGAAGTTGCGGTCCAGTGCGTTGGGTGGTTGCAGCGCGGCGTCGAGGGGGAAGTCGGGCGCGGGAGACAGCCGGCCGGTCGAGGAGTACCGTTGCCGCCGCCGCTCGCCTCCCTCTTTGCAGCCCCCTTCCTGCTCCCACGGAGTCCTGGCAGGGAATGTGGCCGAGCGAGGGCTCCCGACCGAGGGGTTCCGGGCTGCGCAAGCCCTCCCTCCACCTGCCTGCCCCGCATGTGTGCGCGCAGCTGGCTGACCTTAGGTCGGGCGGGGGCGGAGGCTGCCCTGAGTCTCCTGTACCCCCAAATTGCAAGCACCCTTTTGCAGCTGGGAAGTGGGCAGTGGGAAGCGAGCACAGGGTGGGGGGGCAGGGGGGCTCCCGCACTGCACACAGCGTGGGGCTGGCCTGGCCACTCTTGGTGATGTCGACCAAGGACTCCTGCACGGTTTCTGGCGGGCCTGGGTGGGCAATGCCCATCCGGGGCAGCCCGGAGATACTTTTGAGGGCTGCACGGGGGTCCCGGGACCTCTGCCCCAGAGCCTCGGTCAGAGGGAAGGCGGTGTCTGGCCAGGACCGGGCCGCTGCGGAACGGCTTGGCGTGGCCCCTGGGGGCTGCTGGAGGTCGTGCGCTTTCCCCTCGGTGTGGCGCGACACTGAGTAGCCAGCCCTTGTGCAGCTGGAGCGCTGGGCTGCGTTCTCGAGAAACGTGCTGGAAGTTTGGGCGTCTGATTGAAAACGAGGTGCGCTGCGGGACTTGCGCTTCCTCCTTTGCGTCACCGTGGTGTCGCTTGGTCGCGCATGACCAGGGATGTGCAAGAACCAGCATGACACACGGACTCATGACGGGCTGCAGTTGTTCCTCAGCGCAACGGGGCCCGGTGCGTGGAGGTGCCTCCCGGCTCTGCTCCTGAGGGTGCCTGCTGCTCCGTCTATTTTTGTCGGTGCACTCGGCGCTCCGTGGGGCTGTGGAAGTGTGAACTGACACAACCCAGGAGTGTTACCGTGGGGAGCAGGAGCCGTGGGGAGGAAGGGGGAAGCTGTGCGGGGGCATTAGCCAGAGGACCATGAAGGCGGCACCTGCGTGGCGGGGGGTGGGGGGCTGCGCATGGCGGCTGATTTCCAGCTGATAATCGAAGGGCCGGAGAAGTGTCGCCTCTTTACTCTCTGCTCCGCTGCAAAACTGCAGTGCCATAGTTGCAGCTCCGGGAAGAGGAGAGGAGCGGCCATGTGGCCCCGGGCGGACTCTATCCCAGTTCAGCCTGTTACACCCACGGCCTGCTTTTCAGATGCAAATTCTCTGCCACAGCTATTTGAATTCCATGTTGCCTGCCTGCCTGCCTGCCTGCGGCTCATGCGAAGCAAGCAAGATCCGACACTTTCCTTGCTGTGGCCCATTAATTTATTCGAGCGTTTTCAGGCACAGGGAAGCGCAGGCAGTGACAAGAAGCACGGTAGCCGGGCCAGTGGAAATCGTGGCCAGTGGAAATCGTGGTGGCTGAGCATCTCTCATGGCCACGGAGGGCTAGAAGGTGGCTCATCTTTCAAAGGGATGCTGGCGGGGCAGGAAGGCCGGGTGACGTCACGGGACGTGGCCCCTGGCGGATCCTGGGGCCCCCAGCTGGGAACCTGCGCAGGAAATTCCACAACCTTCTTTTAAACGCACGCTTCAGCCTGCGGCGCACAGCCTGGGCCTCCCCTGCTGCAACGGACTACAACGCCCAGCATTGTGAAGCAGTGCTTCTTGCCCAGGGGTGCTGGGAGGTGTGATCCAGGGCAGCAGGAGGGCACTCCCCCGGGGCAACTGGCCTTGGTTCTCCGGGGTCTGAGCTCCCGCGCCCGGTGCTGCCCGTGGCCCTTTTGGCCCGGCCCAGCACGGCCCAGCACGGCTCTGGGGCTGCGGCTGCCCTCGATGTGGGCCGGTCCCCAGTTGGCCGGCCGCCTTCTCCTCCTGGTGGGAAGGCCCTTCCCCAGCTCTCCTCTCCTGCAGGCCCGCGAATGCAGCTGTTTGCAGCTGGCGCGGCTCTGCCACAACCTGCCCGCAGCGGAGGCAGGAATTGCGAGCGAGCGGCACTCCCTGTTTAGACGGAGGGCGCGGCGCCGTTTCCGCTTCAGCCTTTGGAGCCCGGGGAGCAGCGGCGCTGCGCGGCGCGAGGCGGCAGGGGGCTGGGGGGCCCTGGGAAGGACGGGTGGGGGCAGCGCCGGCCGGTGGAAAGGCTGCTGGAGCCCCCTCACCCCCGGGCTGGTTTGGCCCGGGCGCTCCTCCGGGCACAGACCCAGCCTGCCGCATTCAGGAGCAGAACTCGGGGATTTGGATTTTGGTCCTCCCCCCGCCCCCCCGGGAGTTGCCAGCCGCCCACCCCAGGCGATGCGTGCAGCTCAGCCCCCACCCTGGGCGCCTCCCGCCCTCCCTGTTTTGCTGGTGTCGCAATGGTCGTGTGGAGAGGAGAGCTGGCAGATGCTCGGAAGAACTCGCCGGGCAGCTTTTCTGGCGGCTGCGGGGGGGGGGGGGCGCACGGATGTGGGAGTTGCTGGGCGTGTGATGCGGCTCCGTGTTCGTGCGGCTTTTGCATTTAACCTTGAGTCTGGCCTCCTGATAAATCGTTCGCGCTCATTCTCCCCCCGCCCCCGCCGCCCTATCCCAACAAGCCTCTAGTCCTCAGCCTTGTTGGTGTGGGGGAAATGTGGAAAAGTACTTCCATTCCCCGGTCAAGAAACCCTTCCCTTTCTCCAAATTTCAAGTGGACTGGCAGCTTGAGAAGATTAAATTGCCCGAGGACATGAGAACCCCTTGCGAAATTTGCATAAGCTGGCCCAGCCATTGTGTTTGGCTTGTCTGGTGGTTGATCTTCTCTAGCTTTTTTTTTTTTGCATGCATCCCACTGTCCTCTGGGGCTGCAGGTGAAGCTCTCCTCCCCCCAAATTTTAATTTCAGTTTAGCACCTCTTAGGACAAGCCCTTTAGCTGCATGTTTACCTGCAAAGCAGTTTATCAGGCGTGGCTCTTTTTCCCTGTTGCTCTGGATGTGAGAACCAGGGTGGGGAGAAAGCCGGGCTGGCCATTTGCTGGGCTGGGGTCTCTGCGGAGCGGAGCTCCCAGATCGAGCTCTTGACCTGCTGCCAGGGCCTCCCCCTCCCCAGAGGTCCAGGCAAGGTGGGACCCACGGCTGGTGCCCCAGAAGGTCTCTCTGCCCCTTTCCCCAGGAAAGGAGATTTTTCAGTGCTCGGAAAGGGAGGGCTGTGGGCTTCGCTTGCAGGCACAATGCAGCCCCCCCTCCCTGGGCAGGAAAGGACGGGGGGGGAGGCAGTTGCTGCAGGCTGCCCCCCCCATTGCGCCACGCTGCCTCAGCTCCTGTGAACACCTCCAGGGTGCAGGTCGAGGGCTGTTCCAGAGGTCAGGGCCCAACGGATGCTCCTTCCCTAGGCAGGAATACAAAATTTGTGAGTGGGTGTGTTTGTGTGAGGGAGGGAGGGAGGGAGACTGGCTTCAGCTGCAAACCAAGCGAGGCTTCAACCCTTAATGCTCCTTGGTCAATGTCCAGGATTCCAGCCACTACACCGCATTCTAATTCTTGGGTCTGCATTGGTTCCTTCCAAGGAATCCTGGGAGTTGTAGTTTAGCAAAGGTGCCGAGCATGCTGGGATAGAGACCCCGAGCGCTGTACCTCCCCCTGCCCTCAGCGGAGGGATTTTAAACCCAGCGTGGGCAACGATGGCGTCACACTGGCCAGCGCAACCGAATTGGTGCGCAGTGCGAAGATGATGCTCAGCTCCGGTGCCTGAATCCGGAGTGTGCGCCGCTCCCCGAACCCTGTTCCTGCTCAGAAGCTCAGCACCTGGCCTCGCGTCTGCCCGTGCTTGTGCTCTGCTCCTTCCAGGGTGGCTCCTGTCGGGCGACTTGGGGGTGCTTGAGGGGGCTCAGATTTTATGGGGGGCCTCACTGCACCTTGGACTGGCTGGTGTTCAACCGGTGCTCACTGCGAAGACGAGCTACACCTCATGAATGTCTGCCTGGCTTGCCAGTGTTAGAGAAGGGTGAGGCGCGATGTGCAGTGCAGGACTGGGCAGGCGAGGGAGCCTGCTGCCTGCTGGTTCTCCAGGGGCAGGCATGTCGGGATGCCCCCCCATATCTGCCCCCTGGGACCCATATCAGGCTTGGCCTCTGGGGAATCCAAGCAGAGGGGCTGGATAACGGCTCCCGCCTGCCATGTGCTCTCTTAGCGTGTTGCCTGAGCCTTGGGCGACTTGATGCTTTGCAGAACAGTCTGCCCAGATGCGGCGGTCTTGGGGGGGGGGGTGGCAGGCCTCGTGAGGGTTTGGGTGGTCCTCTGCCCCACTCCCCCGCCTCTTCCTGCACCCGGACACGCGGCAAGCAAGCCTCACCGCCTGCCCCGGCAGCGTGATGGGGGAAGCTTTGCCCAGGACGTTTCTGCAGAGAATCACAGCCCGTAAACATCAGAAAAAGACACGGCAACCTTAACGATCACAGGATAAGCAGTTTGGATGCCACAAGCCGGAAACATTAGCTCTGCTGCGGGGACTCTTCTCCCCATCTCCAGCCCAGGTCCGAGCCTTCCAGCTTCCCGTGTTTAAAATTAAGACGCTCCGCCCTGCAAAATGCAAGCCGGAGACTTACGCCAGCTTGTGTGATGCCAGGGATTCCTGCAAGGCAAGGGCTGAGCTGTGTTGCAGCGACTGTGGAGCTGAGTTTGTGGCCGCTAGAAGGTGGAGGTGGTGGGCGGGGGTCTCTCTGGCCGGCACCGGCCAAGCCGCCTCGTCCTTCACGCCGAGCCCCTCTCTCCCCGCCCCGCGTCTCCTCGCAGTGAGTCGGTGGTCTGCTCGACTCGAGCCACGGTGATGCTCTACGATGACGCCAACAAGAAGTGGGTGCCGGCCGGGGGCGGCCCCCAGGCCTTCAGCCGCGTCCAGATCTACCACAGCCCTGCCAACAACACGTTCCGGGTGGTGGGCCGCAAGATGCAGCCGGACCAACAGGTACCCCGCTTCTCTGGCCTGTGTGTGTCCAGGGAGGGGGCAGGAGGGCGGGTGGGGAAGATGGCCCCCCACTAGCGGTTGGTCTGGCACTGCAAAGAGTTGGGTTCGGGGCCAGGCGAGTCTCCCTGGGGAGCGGAGTGTTGTCGGAGGGGTCCGCACTGCAGGAAGGGCGCCTCCGCCAGCCTCCCGCGGCCTGGAGGTGCCGCAGGGGTGGCCCCCCTGCCCCGGGGCTTCCTTGCGCTCCTTGCCCACGAGCGCAGAGCCCGGACGCCCGCTTCTCCTCCCCCGTCCCCAAGGTGGTCATCAACAGTCCGATCGTGAAGGGGCTGAAGTACAACCAGGCCACGCCGAACTTCCACCAGTGGCGCGATGCCCGCCAGGTCTGGGGGCTCAACTTCGGCACCAAAGAGGACGCCAGCCAGTTCGCCAGCGGGATGATGCAGGCGCTGGAGGTGCTGGACTCCGGTGAGGCTGTCTCTGCTTGGCGGGCCCAGGGGGAAAGGGGGTGTCGGTTCCCGGCTGGAGCACGGGGCGGATCCTGCAGCTGGGGGAGACCCGCTGGGTGTGGGGCGGCCCTGCTGGTCAGCCTCTCTCAACCTGGAGCCCGCAGAGCTGCTCTGGGAAGATGTGGGGACCAGAAGGAGCTGCAGCTGAGCAGAGTGGGGCGCATTCATGCTCCACGTGTGCCAGCGTGACCACCCTCGGCCAGCCGCACCACCCCCCCCGGGCCTTCCTGCACCAGCAGCAGCTCACCACTGTCGCAGGGCTCGGCTGGGCTCTCGGAAGCTCGGCCTCGGGGGCAGCTTCCGGTGAGGCCGGCAGGGTGGCTCCCAGCTCGGAAGCGGACGTCCTGCCCCAGGCGAGAAGGCATTGGCTGCTCCAGCCGGCGCGGGAGAAGGCCGGGACCTCCGATCGGGCCTTTCGGTCTGACTCGGGCCCCCGCGGCAAACCCGGCTCTGTTTTGTCCCCCAAGGGAATTCTGCGCCGCCGCGGCCGATGCAAAATGGCCCCTCGGCAGACGAAATGGCGGAGCAGCAGAAAAGGTATGGGATGCTGTGACCGCCTGCCCCCCACAGCTCCCCACAGGGACATGGCCTGTGCGCCCCACTGCCGCTCGGCTTGCTGCTGGGAATGGCGTGCCCCCCCCCGATGCCGGGGCCTGGGAGGGGTTGGCTCTCTGGCAGCCCCCGGTGAGCAGCTCCATTCCCAGTTCATGGGCAGGGCAAACTGAGGCAGGCAGAGTGTCCGGGGCCAGGCCACGGGAACCGTCCGGGCAAGGGGCCCCCGGAGCAGCATTTCCACCTGGCCGCGGCTGTTTGTGCCGCCCAGCCCCCCGCCCAGCCCGCCCCCCCGGCTCCCCGTGCAGCATGTGCCCCGCTGCGGCCACTCACGGGAGCCGCCTGGCCGAGGGAGGGCGGTCCCGCTGGGCTTAGCGGCCGTAATCCGCTTGCGAGCGCCTGGGTCAGCCTCCTCGCCCCCCCCGCCCGCTGCCCCCATTACGGCGCCCACCGCTCCCAGTGTCCCCAGCGCCCTCTCGGCTGGCGGGGCGTGAGCTCGGCGGCACCCGGCCATGTGCGGCTTCGCGGTCTCGGGGATCCTGGGCCCCCTTTTGCCGGAGCCGCCACCCAAGTGAGTGGGAGGGAAGGCTGAGCCTGCAGCTGGCATGGGGGGGCCACCCCCCACCCTGGGCTGGAACTGACGCGCTCCCTGCCCCTCCCTCCGCTCCCCCTCCACCCCCCCCCCAGGCAGCAGCTGGAGCGAGAGCAGCAGGAGCAGGCCGAGCGAGAACGGCGGGTGACCATCTCAGGTGGGTCTCGGCGGGCGGCAGCACCAGGCCTGCGCCCCGTGGCCCCACTCGCCTCCTCCGGGACAGCAGGCGGGGGGAGCTGGGGGGCTTGCCCCTGCCCCCAAAGCTCCAGGGCCCTTGCTGAGCCGGCCGGGAGCACGTGTGAGGGGCAGAACGAGGCCGGCTCGCCTGGGAGTACGTGGAGAGCAAGGGAGGGGTTCGGGGGGGCAGGGGGGCAGGGGAGTTCTGCAGAACACCGGGGCACTTGGGGGCCGGGGGCTGCAAAGCGCCCCCGACTACCTCCCTGCCGCTCCGCGGGGTGTTGGCAGCGGCAGTTTGACGCCCCTCTCTCGCCACAGGACCGCCTGCCACCCCCTCAGGGGGAGCCCCCCCACCACCCCCGGGACCACCGCCAGCTCCACAGTGCCCACCCCCAGGACCTTCGTCAGGCCTGCTGGGACAGCCTCCAGGAGCGCCACCGGGCCCACCGCCCCCTCCGGGGCCACCCCCCCCACCTGGGCCGCCCCCATGCTCTGCACCCACAGGAGGGGGGCCGCCCCCAGCCCCACCCCTCCCCCCTTCCCAGGGCCCTGCCGGGGGTTCCGGGCCGCCCACCGGCTTGGCTGCGGCACTCGCTCAAGCAAAGCTCAAGAAAGTCGGCAAGGTGAGCTGGGTGCTGGCGGGGGGAGGGGGGCATCCAAACGCTGGCGGGGGGGCTTCCAAGGGACCTGGGGGGCCTGGGTTGGCCAAGGGCATGTGCCGGGGTGGACGATTGGCGCCTCCAGCTGCAGGAAAAGGGCTTGGCCACATTGGCCCCCCAGCTCTCCTTGGGTAGAAAGGCCGGCTGGAGGGAAGGGGGCAGTTAGTTCCCCCCCCCCCGCCCTGCACCTGGGAAGCAGCCGGGAAGTGGGGCATGGGGACCACGGACGAGCTGCGCCTGCCTCCTTTCTCCCCACACGTTCCACAAAAACATGCCTCCGTCTGTGGGCCCGTGCAGAGCAGGATTGATCTTGCGCATCGGGGCAGGAAAGGGGGCAGAGGTCCCCGAGTGCCCCCCTGCCGGGTGGCAGAGGAGGAAGCTGCATGGGCGTTGACCTGCCCCCCACCTCTTCCCCACGGCACAGGAGGAGGGACCAAAGGCTGCCCCCGGAGCTGCAGCCCCTCCCAGTGGCCCAGGCGGGGGGGGCCTCATGGAGGAAATGAGCGCCATGCTGGCACGGCGGTGAGTGGGGCGCGAGCGGGACCCGACGCTTTGAACACACCGCTGGCTGGGGATGTTGGGAGCTGTGGTGCAGCCCACCCAGAGGGGGGCAGCCTGGGGGAGCCGGGGCTGAAAGGCAGGGCGGCGCCACTGGCAGCACCTGCCCCTGCCATGTGCTTGGGGGGCACTGGGAGCCCCCGCCCACAGCTTTCCTTTGGGGGAATTCTGGCCTTCCCCGCTCGTCTGAAAACAAGCTCAGGGGCTCCGGCGGAACGCAGAGGCAGGGGCTGGCCTCTGGCCCTCGTGCCTGCTAGCCCAGGGGGCATGTGGGAAGCAGGCCCAGGGCTGCCCCCCCCGGGGTGCTCGGAACACGGGGCTGCAGGTGTAACCCCCTTTCTCGTCTGCCTGCCCCCCGCAGGAGGAAAGTTGCGGAGCAGGGCGAGAAGCCCCTTCCCAGGAAAGACGACAGCCCTGCGCACGTAAGAGCCCCCCCGCCCCTCCCGCCAGGCTGTAACGGGGGGCCTTGTTTGAACCCGAATCTCCTGGCCTGGGTGGGGGCTTCCAGCACAGTCCCGTCGCCCCTTGCGGGAGTGGATGGCGCTCCCTGGATCTCAGCTCACCGGCCTCCCCTTTTTCTTCTCTGTTTGCCTCCACAAAGGACGATGCAGAGGCTGCGGGTGCCAAGACCACAGGTGGGCAGAGGGGCGGCCGGCTGGACCCGGCCACGGGGCACCTTTGTGAGAGCGGGTGTTGGGAACGGGTTGGGTGAGGGGCAGCTTTCCCACTGGAAAGACCCCCAGATTTTCAGTCCGTGTGGAGGGGGAGCATATGAGAAGGACTTCTCTGTCCACACCCAGCAGCAGCCTTGCCTGTGCACTGAGTGAGAGAGAGCGCGAGTGTGCTGTGCTGGAGGAGTTTGCTGAGGAAACCCCTGCGGGCAGCTCAAGCAAGTGAGCCAAGCCACGTAGGGGAGGCAAGAGGGCTGCATGTGCAGGAAGCTCAAGCGCTGACGAGCGGCTGAGCAAGATGCGCCGGGGCTTCCTTCCCAGCCCCTGCTGGCCCCTCTTTGGCCAGCGCAGAGGGAGCCCTGTGGAAGGGCCTCCGGGGGCTTGGGTCGCTGCGCCTTGCCCGCGGTCCGAGCGCACTGCCCGCCTCCAACCCGTCCTCTCTCCCGTCGCACAGACTCCTTCCGGAGGCCCTGGGAGAAGACCAGCACGACGCTCCCCAGGTGGGTGCGCCTGCCATCGGCCGTGAGTCAGCTGAAGCTGGGGGGAGCACTGCCCCCCGCCCCCC